TATATATAGAGAGAGAGAGAGAGAGAGAGAGAGAGAGAGAAACACTAGCCAGAAAAGTGGCATGCACCTGTAGTCTCAGCACTCAGGAGGCTGAGGCAGGAGAATCACTTGAGCCTAGGAGTTCCACCTTGGTAGCCTGGGCAAAATAGTGAAATTCCATCTCCCACAATAAAAGAGGGCAGGATACACATTATATGTTTTGCAAACTGCAGCAGTAATTTCTGATTGCAGAAGAAAAAAAAATCAACTGTGGAAAGAAGAATCCCCTCTTGACATACTGATTGATTGTGAATTAGGATTGTACACTTAGGAGAATCGCTATAAAATTATAATATAAATACACTATTTAACATAAAAAGTAATAACATTTCCTTTATCAACAACTTCTCCCTATGCATCACGAAATGTCAAGTTCATATGTAATTCTAAGAAGAATCTTTTGAGGGAAGAGCCAGATCCAACACACCACTTAAGAAAAATATGCATACTCTGGGGCTGGGGTTGTGGCTCAGTGGTAGAGCACTTGACTAGCATGTGTGAGGCCCTGGGTTTGAGTCTCAGTACCTCATATAAATAAAATAAAGGTCCATTTACAACTAAAATAAATACATCTTTTTAAAAAGAAAAATATGCATACTAAATAGATGGTGAACTATTGTAATAAAAAAAAAATTACCTTGCACATAATTACAGTTCCCAGTTCCTCAAAATGTTCTTATAGTTTCTTAGTTAATAAATATAAATTGATTTATTGGTTAAATTATCAACTATGGAGCTGCCTGACAACAGTATAAAATAGATAATTCACCAGAAACTGGCTTCTAGAGTTAATTTTAATTTCATTGAAACAAACAAAAAATTATCAAATGCTTATTAAGCACCTATTTTAATTGCTAAACTGTGAAGTCAACATTATTTATATCTGATCCATTCTACAAAATACACCAATTTTCCTTTTGACATAAGGTAGCAAAAATTCCAAAGAACAGGGGAGAAACTACTAATGAAGGTCAATGTTTTACTAATCTAGCACCATAGTTCCAGTCTGGAAGGAAGAGAATGGAAAGAGGTGAGTCCATTGGAAATGTAAGGGATAGTTCTTAACTTGTGGTCCCACTTTTGCTCTGAGACAACACAGAGTCTAGAAAAGAAGAAAACTGCAGAGGCTGGAGATGAATCCAAAAGCTTTGGGATCAGGTGGTCTGCAAGGTCTTGCAAGAGGGTAGAATCCATGTTTCCAGAACGCAGAGCTGGAGCCAGCCTCAGGAAGTAGGTGGTTACTTCTTGATTTCCCAGCCTTTTTTAATGTCTTCAAGTTTTTTAGCCACATCTGGCATCTGATAATTCTGAGCCAGATACATCCCAAGGACGTTGCCAAAAGTAAATCCAAGCAGGAACTGGAACATGATGTCAGCAGGCCAGGAGAGCCAGCAGGCAGGGAGAGCCGGGTGTTAAGGACAGCGCTGCTCAGGGGACCACTGGCTCATGGTTTTGGAGGCAAAGTCCCAAAGGTTTGGTGCCAGCTTTGGTGAAGTGATCCTCGCCTGTGTCACCCTATGGCAGATGACATCATAATGGCAGGGATGCTTACAATAGGACAGATCACTTGGAAAACAGCAAGTAAGAGAAAGGGGTGGTAGGGGTGGTGGGGGTGGGGGGGCAGGGTATGGGGGTCCAAGCCTTGCTTCTTTCCTAAGAAGGCCTCAGGTGGGCAGAACTCCTAACCACCCTCCACAGGGCCCCACCTCTTAAAGGTCCCATGACCTCCTAACTTCACACAGCCAACCAAACACATGAATCAACACATAAATCCTTGGGGGAAAAGTGACATCCAAAAGCAGTATCCATACATCTTTATCAATCTGATCTTCCAAATATAGCACAGTATATTGAGTTTGCATATGAATCTACGTAAGCATCTAAAGTGTTTAAATACAAGCTGGTGTTCTGCTTAATGGTTAAAGTTTCCAAAATAAGATAAAAATTCTATGCTTCTTTAAAGTTTAACAATTTTTTAATGCTCCATTGTTTTCAAATAAGCCACACTCATTTATTTGTTTGTTTGTTTTTCCGGGGAAAAGTGTTAGTTTATGTTGTCCTTAATGTGGAGATGAAGGCAGGGCTTGAACTAGATGATACCTGTAAGTTGTGGATTGATTTTATAAAGACAATAAATAACGGTTTATTTTCTATATTTTGGAAGAAAGTATTTGAAAAAACAATAAATAGAAATAGCTGCTTTGGGGTGGGGATGTTATCTTTTTGAGAACACCATAGGGGTGTGGGAAGGACTTTAATTAATAACAATTGTACCATTTCCGTTTCTTCAAACTCAATTATCCACTTGAATGATTCTAAACTTCCCCAATAAACCTTTGAACAACATAGTGGAATTATCAAATGTGAGAGAACCAGATTCATGGCTTGCCCTTTAACATTACTATTTACTTTGCTATCAGAACCTTCATGCAAACTTTAAGGACATGTTTCTTTACAGTACTTGTGTGATGGTGTGGTCATAACCTTGAAATGTGTTTTCATCTAGAATATTATCTCAAATTTGTGTTTCTTCAATATTTTAATGACACCTCACTTACAATGATTCTTATTTAAGAACTAGTGATTAAATAAGAATGAAATTTATCAAATTGTTGGAAATAATTTTTACCAGTACCAAATGATGTAATTAGAATTTTTCCTGTAATATCAAGATTATAAAATTATCATTAAGAAGTTATTGGTAAACTTTGAGTTTATTAGTCCTGGAATATAGCTCAGTGGTAGAGTGTTTTCCTAGTATTCAAGAGACCCTGGGATTGATTCCCAGCACAAGAAGAATAACAACAAAACTTCCTATTTATGATAGTTAACAGAAAGTTTTAAGTCTCCACTCTATCTTTTTATCCATTTCTAATATCTCTAAAATGACAATTTTGCTTAATCTGTCTAAATTTAGTTTTCTTACTTAAAAATTCTTCTCTGGAAGGACAAAATGAACTCATGTATACAAAACCTTTTTCTGAATGCTAAACTGTAGAAAAAATAACTATTTCCTGTAATTATTGACTAATCTTTGGCCAATCATCAATAATTGAATAAATAACAAAATATTCAATAGCACTCAACATCAATCTGCATACTATAATAAGAAAGGACAGATAGATAGCAGAGACCCAGGATGCCAAAGAAAAGGACATAAAAAGAACAGACCTCAAAGTACACAACCTGTTAAATGGGTCCATCAAGTATCATGATGATGGCATACATTTCAATCTCTATATTATTTATACTGTCTCATAATGATGAGTGGAAATATTTTTCCCTTCAGTGTGCATTTGATGTGTTGGGGGAAATATAATCTAAATTTTCCTGTGAAAGACTATGCCTTCTCATTTTCTATCCATGTATTAGTGATGATTAACTTTAAAATTAATCACGCAACTCTAATTGTTTAGAAGATGACACATATACATATTTTCTCTTTTCTTCTGGGGAATTATCAAAGTAAATATGATCTGAGACTAGAGATGCTGAAAGCCCAAGGTTGAAAGCTATAGAAAAACAGTCCTGGGGACAGAAAGCAAGCCAGCCCACACATGTTGTATGAATCTGGATAAAACCATACCTCTTGGAGACCTCCTTGACCTTCTTCCATTTAATTAAGCATGCCTTATACTCTTTGGAGAGTACTAACTAGCATATATTTTTGCACTTATTAACACATATGTGCATGGCATGCACAACTGTGCTCACACAAGTATCAGAAATATTACAAAGTATTTTCTAAAATTATTCAATTTTTATTTTTTTCAAAGTAAAATTGTGTTAAATTTTCAATAATATTATATGAGCTAGTAAGAAGCCACTAGCAAGTGAACCACTGATTTAAAATAAAGAAGGAATTCCTCATGTTTTGTATAAGTGTCTAAGAGATCTAATAGAAATGTCAATATCTATGTTACTGAAAAATGAATTTTTTATTTTAAAATATTTCAGATCATTACACATTCTTTTTATGATAATATTGTTAGTGTGATTTTGTCCCTTATACTAGCCCTAAGACATTACTCACTTAGACTGATTTTAGCCTTTGGACTTTATTCATATCCTAATTATTTGTGATAATAAATTAGTCTACAATTTTTGTTTGCTCGTTGAATGTTAACATTCTATCAGTTAATGAAAATTATAATACATGAATAAAGTGAACACTAAATTTTACCACATAGGTTTGGAGCTGAGACTCATCGAGTAGAGGGGGTGATGTGGCCCTAGGTTTCATCTCCAGCACTGAAAGAAAAAAGACAATGCCATATGAACTAATCAATAGACATAAAAAATTCTTTGCCTGTCTATTTCAATATAGCATAAATGCACAAAGAAAACATTGTTAGGTTCTGATAATTTTTACCTATCAAGTATGACTTAACATCAAATGATTATAAAATATATGTTTTACCTGCTTTATACTTTGGTGATTAAAATGTATTATCTTGTCATTTTTTATTTCTTCTTTGTAATGATGCCCCAAAGTTCCACTGATCTCTCTGTGAAGCTTCTGCAGAGGATTGCGTGTAGACGATTTATGCTGTTAAACTCATTAAAATTTTAATTTAACCCATTATAAAAGGATACCTTAAAATAATTACACCACTTTACAAAAAGATACTTAGTTTCTTTTTAAAATTTTAAAGAAACAACTTGCATTTTTTTAATTCTACAATGAAATCCTACTGTCATAAACTCTTGAAAAGCTATACAATATTCTGAAAATCATGTCCATATGGTGGTGTGGTTGGTGACTCACTGCTCATAATATCACTCATTGTGCATGGCTAAGCAGCTAGCTAAATGTGCAAATATAATTAGCTACACACCTCATCTGTGAAAGGGTGTCTTTAAAATGAATCTGGTTCATGGAGAATATAAGGTTCATTAACTCTTTGGAGCCCTTTGGGTGCCATTTAAAAGGCATTTGTTCTCCCCGACACAATTTTCCAAATCACACTCCAGTGGCTAGTCTTGAGTATTAATTTACTTGAAGACACCTATGCAGAGGAGAAAAAAAGGGGAGGAAGGAAATTTTTTTATATCATACCTCTTCCCATAGAAACCAAGTTCTCAATTTGCTCTTTCCAGTCATCTCTAAAAATTGCCTTTTTTTTTTACATTTTGTTTAGAAACATCTGCATGTTATGTATGACTACATTAATAAATAGCTATTAAATGTTTTGTGAATATTTTCTTAATCACTACAATTAAGGTAAAACAGATGGTATACTTTGACACTATAGATCTCAGGTATCTGTAAAGAATTATTTCCCAACTGTTTATTATATATATGTGAGAAACAAACAACACATCAATTAAGATACATATATTTTAAAAATTTGGTTAAATTGCAGATATCAAGCATGTGCTATATTATGGGGAAAGTATAAAAATATGTACTTTAATGTTGCAGAGAAACTACAGTAGAGTTATAGTTTTCTTTTTCAGATACTTCTGAATTCTTAGCTATTTAGAAGTTAAATAGATTAATTTGAAAATATATTCACTTGTCACTAATAGTGATTTTTCTAATTATAAAAATCAGTATCATTTCAAAAATTTGGAAACTGCTGGTTATGTTTTGAAACTGTTTTTGCATATTTTTTGAAATATGTACCTAAGAATTTTATTAATGTATTAACTTACAAAATTGAGAAAGCATTGGTGATTTTTGGTTATGTATATTTAAATATGTTTTCATTTTTCCCTTGAGTTTTAATTTCATGATTTTTTTGGAGGGGAGGTATTGGGGATTGAACTCAGGGGCACTTGACTACTGAGCCACCTATTTTGTATTTTATTTAGAGACAGAGTCTCACCAGAAGCACTGGCACATGCTTGTAATCGCAGCAGCTTGGGAAGCTGAGACAGGAGGATCATAAGGGTGCCAAACAGCTGAGTGAGACTCTCCCTCAAAATAAAATACAAACTAGGGCTAAGAAAATGGCTCAGTGGTTGAATGCCCATGAGTTCAATCACTGGTGTGCCTTGCTTTGGCTGAGGCTGGCTTTGAACTCTGGATTTCCTATCAGTCTCCTGAGTCACTGGGATTATAGGTGCGCACTACGGCACCCAGCTAATTTTATGATTTTTGACATCTATATGATTTGTTTGTAATAATTTCTACCTATGATTAATTTATTTTCTTTGTTATTGATTCTGTTTACAGATGATTTTATCACCCATACATAATTTGTCCCTCTGTATCCCAGTACTCTTTCCTCCTAATAACATCACTTACCAATTTTTGTCTGTTTATATCCACAGTTTTTTCTTTTCTAGATTTCATTTTTACTAAAAACATTCCCTGCTTGGCTTTGTGGAACTTCTTTAGTGCAGTGGAGCAAAGGTTCAAAAACAATTTTATTTTGACATTAGTACACTATCCACAAACATGTGATAAACATATTTCAACTACAGCAAGACTTCAGTTTGTTCAGTTTCAGCAGAGTGGCAAATTAAGTGAAAGAAAGCTAAATCATGTTTAATATTTATAACAAATAT